TATCCCCAAATTCAATAGGGTTCCTTCTTGTGCCAAACAAACGATTTGTGCAAAATATCATCTCAATGCGACCTGTACTTTGTTTCCAAAATACATGGACAGACTGACGGGCAAACAGACTGCGATTCTATGCAGCTCATCAAAAGGAACTATGGCTTTAACTCGTTTCCTTCTCTATGTTACAAAGAAATGCCCAAAGACATAATACCCTGACCACAGTGTGGTGTAGGTATAAATAACTCTCAAGTGGTTCTCCTTTGCATTTGGCTGTAGTACCGATTTTGAACTTCAAATGCGAAATAATTCCAGCGAATAATACAGCTAAATTTATTAAAATACCCAATATCGGGAGGTATCGTAATATAGGGGGCTATACAAAGACGTGAACCTGCATACACAGTTTTCTGTCATAGACTGTAGTACCCATTACGACATTCAAATACGAAATTTGAAACAATGTATAATGTTGTTAAAATCATCAAAATACCGAATTTAAGGAGGTATCGTTATATAGACGATGTACGAAGACGTGGACCTGCATACGTGATTTTTTCTCATAGACTGTAGCACCTATTATGAAAGATAATACAAAATTTGGAACAATTCCGATAAAAATATCTCTAAATCATTAAAATACCGAATATTGGGAGGTACCGTTATATTGGGCTATATGGAAACGTAGACAGACATGGACCATTTACAAACTTAACCTGTGTAAACATTTTTGGCCTTCTTTCTCAATTTATTCTAAAGATAGCGTGATTACAACAGACCGACAGAAGGACATCGCTACATCGACTTAGAATTTTAAGTTGATCAGGATTATATGTATATAATTTATTGGGTCTAACATGAGTATTTTGAGGAGTTACAAACCGAATGACATGGAATGGTGGAGGGTATACAAAATATCAAGCGGTTTTTTCTTCAGATATATATACCTTCGGCCCATGTTTGATAATGAAAGATATTTTGACTTGATTATTCAAAATGTTTACCCTTTATTGGGATGATATCGAAGGCGTGGCTAATATTTTCTATTTTATATATGATATAAGTCGAAAATGTTTTGGAAAATTTGAACTTCTTTAGAGGAGGTAGGAGATAGAGGGGAAGAATTAAAACAGATAATACTAATACTGATGAGAATACTAGGAGGTGCAATAATTACTTATTTTCAGTTTGGTTAGATCATTTGGTGGTCAACATTTTTTATATGGTGTGAGGGAGGTACCATATTCCATGTTTACATTAAATTTATGGCTTATAGAAATATAATTATTTTACTATTTGTGGTGGAGGTACCTGAAAGAACAAGCCGGTAGAACTATTGTCGATGAAGGTATTGCTTTGTACGATGCTAGAAGAAACATCGAATAATTTTTTCCAGTTTTATTACACTTAACCAATTTAAAATGTTGACCCCTTGTGAGGGAGGTATCAGGAGAGGATCAATATTCACATTATATCTCAAGATTAGTAAGATATTGAGCTATGCTTAGTTTAAGGAGAATCGTTGACTTGTTTCCCATGTTACAAGTAACCAAAATGTTGACACTTTGTGGGGGAGGTGCCAGAAGGAGTGATATGATATATTCCTTATTTACACCAGATCTTGTGTTGATACAGACATTGGGATGTACCCAGTTTGAATGGAATCGGATGCTTATTTTCCGTTTTATGAGCTTCATGGGCATTCAAAATTCTGACCGGTTGTTGGGGAGGTACCAGAAGGAGTGAGCCGATATCTACCATATTTATAGCAGATCTTGTGTTAGTAGAAATAATAGGATAAGTAAACTATGAAGAGAACCGGATGTTTACTTCGGATATAATTATCGTTTTTGGTTATTGAAAAGTTTGACCCTGTTTGGGAGTGGTGTTAGGATGTACCAAGTCTGGATGTCAATTTCATATTCAAAATTTTAACCAGACCTTGGGTTAATAAAAAATATTGTAATGTGTGGAATTTGAAGAGAATCGACCTCTTAGTTCACATTTTATAAGATTCAAAATTATTCAAACTTTTGACGCTTTGTGGAGGAGGTACTTAATGGAGTGGACCGATATTGTCCAGCATTGATAGAAAATATTAAGCTTTCCAAAATTTGAACAAAAATGCTAATTATTTTCTGTGAAAATGGTGACCTCTTGTATTGAGGTATTAGAACCGATATTGTCCATTTCCAAACTCAATCTAAGTTTGACAATATTATTACGATGTATCAAGTTTGCAATAAATCGGTTACTCCCTTTGAGAATCATCGTGCGCACCATCCAGCCAGGCAGACAGACAAACGGACAGACATCCCTCCAAATGGCCTGAAACGGATTTGGGCCAAAGGGACCTAGAGTCTAAAGCCGTTATTTCGATGACCCACGTTTTTGCCGTATCAAATGATATATACTCTCTGTAGTCATATGGCTGAGGGTATAAAAAGAGTAGTGAAATAACTGACCTATTGAACTAGAATCAACCCTCAGCTGAAACGGCTCAATCTTGAATCTTGACATTTTGCACGAGGATCAGTCTTGGTGTGATAAGGCTGGGTTTTTGGAAATTCTTACTAAAAGGATACCAAATGTACTAGAATGTTCTAAAAATTGAATACTTTGCAATGTGAAACAAAGACAAAGACGGAGTGCAGTATAGATGTACCAAAGGGTTTTTTGAAATTCGAACATACGAAAAGATCTCAAATTGTACTAAAATTTTGAAATGGTACCATTTTGTGTTTTGCGAACAAAAAACATGAAATTTGGGATAGGTTGGGCAGTAAGTTTTATATAAAAGTGGTTTTGGAAATGTGTACTAAGTATGCGATTGGTAATAAAAGGTACTAAAATTGGAACAGTTTGGTTTTGGGCTGAACGACTGAAGCTGGAAGTTTGACATTTTTTACTATGTTCCCTGTGGGTGGTAGGTTTGTAACAAAGAAGTATTTTTGGAAATGGGTACTACAGGTGCACGAAAACCACAAAATAGAACCATATTTGGTACAATTTCGTATTGGATGAACAGATGGGGCTTGAAATGTGAAATTTTATATTAGGGTTGGTGTTCATGTGTAGCCTGGACATATGGAGGTGGCTTCGGAAATGTGTACTACAATTGTACGAAAAGTACTTATTGGTATTAAACTTGGTATTGGGTGAAGGGATAGAACTGAAATCCTAAAATTTGATAAATATGTCACTGTTGGTGCCTGCATTTCAGATTTAACCATTATTTTGGAAATGATTCCAATTCCAATGCGAAAAGTACTAAATGGAACTAAATTTTGTTTTAGGTGAGGGAATTGAGCTGCAATCCTGCAATTTGATATTGAGGTCTCTGTTGGTATCTGGAATTGAGATATCCAGATTGGTTTAAAAATGCCTTAAATACGCATTTTCAAAACAATCTCACTTTTGGTGCATGCATTTCAGATTTAACCATTATCTTGGAAATGATTCCAATATTTGTGCGAAAAGTACTAAATGGAACTAAATTTTGTTTTAGGTGAGGGAAGTGAGCTCCAATCCTTCAATTTGATATTGTGGTCTCTGTTGGTATCTGGATGTGAGATATCCAGATTGGTTTGAAAATGCCTTAAATACGCATTTTCAAAACAATCTCCATATTTAAATTCCTCAGTATCCAATTGGAGGATTGCAGCAACATTCCCTCACCTAATACAGTACGAAAGGAACTCGGCGGTACTAAATTTGCTATTGGGTAAAGGGATAGGACTAGAATTGAGATATGGAAATGTTTTGAAAATGCGTTCGAGAAGTACTAAGCGGTACTAAATTCTATATTGGAGGAAAGGATGAATGTTACTATTGGTGTCTGTAGTAGATATAAGGAGGTGCTTTTAGAAATGCGTAGTATAATTGTACTTAGTTTGATAATGAGGGGAATAAAAGAATTTTAATTCTGAAATGTAAAATTAAGGCCACTGTTGATATCTAAGGATGAGATATAGATTTTTTTTTGAAAATGCGTACTTTAGCTGTGCTAAAATAACTGAACTGAATTAAATTTGGTATCCAGGGAAGGAATGAAGCTGAAATCCTGAAATTTAATATGAATTTCTCTGTTGGTGTCTGTAGTTTAGAGAAGGAGCTGGTTTTGGAAATACGCACGATGAGCGTACAAAAAGTACTAAATAGTACTAAATTTGGTATTGGTTGAAGCGATAGGGCTGGACTCTTCCAATATGATATTTAGATCCCTGGTGGTATCCCGGATTGAGATATGGAAGTGGTTTTGAAAATGTGTACTATTATGGTACGAAAAGTACTAAATAGTTACTAAATTAGGTATTAAGAGTAAAGATATAGCTGAAATCTCGAAATTTGATATTAAGATCTCTGTTGGTTTTGTAAATGCGTACCATAATTTTTCGAAAAGTACTAAATGGTACTTATTTTGGATCACTCTTGGTGTCTAGTATGGTGAGGTGTAGATTGCTTTTGATATGCATATTATATGTTACTGAATGTGGTAATGGGTGAAGAGATAGACCTGAAATTTTATATTGTGGTCACTATTGGTTTCTAGGGCTTTACATATGGGCACGTTGAAAAAGCTTTGGACAGAGAAGTTGGATGTGGGTTAATTGTGCAATAGTTTTCTTAACATCCTCCTCTAGGTCTAAAAGTTAAACATTTTCCTATTATTCTTTCTGAAAAAGTAAACCTGAATAGAATTGAATAAGATCTTAAAAATCTGAAAATTAATTACGATATATGTACGTAATTTTGACCAATTGAACAGTTTGTATATTTTGGGTGCTAAATATATTTCAAAGTAACTATATATGAATAACCCATTATTGCTGTCCTGCTGGTAAGGTAGAAAGCACTGTGTTTAAATTGCCCTTTAAGGGGTTATTCAGTATCTTCAGCTTCCAAATTGTTGCTGGGTAGTACCAAGAGTGGCAAAATTGCAATTCATATTTTTTTCTGGTCACCTGAGGGTATGATTCTGTTGGGAGATAGACTTACTTACTTCCTTTCCTGTTTCTATTAATTTAATAATTATTTATTTTAATAATATTACATATTATTTATTTATTTTTATTAAATATAAGCTTACAATTACAATAATACAAATAGTTTCCTCTTCCTCTTTGAAATTCATATTCATAGGAGACTCTTTCACCACACCTGACACCTTGCGGCGGGCAGCATACGACTCTGCCGCGAGCAGTGGAACGTCTTGGAAAACTCCGAGAAATGTGCGAGGGCATCATTAATGCGATCACTCACATCACCATGCTCCAAATCCGAAATATTTGGATCACAAAATAGTTGAGCAAAATTTAAGAAAAATATTTTCTTCAGCGACATTTGTTGACCGCGAAGACGTTTCGTATCTTCGGTGGCATTGGGAAACAATTGGAAGAAAGTACTGTACGCATAACGTAGACCACTTATATCGGCAATTTTCTCATCCACCACATCCGGGTAGAGTTCCCGTACACAATTATAATTGCCGGCAAATTTGGGTGTGGCCAGGGCGGTATTAAATTGCCAGGCATTCATTCTACCCCGGTAATCAACGGAGAGGCCCATACGATCGAAGCCATGAAATATTTCATGGGCCAAAGTGCTGCCAAGAGAACTGTACTTATAAATATTCTCATATTGCGGATGATAGAGCGGCAAACGTAGCGTTGTAAAGGGTACGATGATAATGTTGGACCGAGTAAGGAAGTAGGGCGAGGAACTACTACCCTCTCCATAGGTTTCCAAATTGAAAAATTGACTTATATTCCTTGTCAGAGTATTGGGATGGCTGGAGTGGGCTGCCTTGAACTGAGAATTAAGCAGCTTCAAATGATTACCATAGAAATCAATGGGACTTAAAATTAAATCATCATAGAAATATTCCAATATCATTTTCGAATCGTGCTGTGGCAGATTTCCAATTTTCAATTGAATATTATTTAATTTTTCTGTTAGATACTCCAAAAGGCTGGCATTAAATTGCAGAGGATTCTCGTTCAGGGTCTGTTTGAACTGTTGCACAATATCACCGAACATGTCTTGTATGCCTTCGGAATATTCTGGAATTTCCGGATGTTGTTGTCGATACAACCAATGCATTGCCAGCGGCATTACATTCCGCAACGTGTCCACACACTCTATGGGTTCAAATTTCCTTGGACCTTTTTGCTGTAAATGCCACAGGAATCGTACCTCCAAATAGCGACTCACAAAATGATGGCTATACTTTTTCAACAGATCATACAGCTGTTGCATATATTCCAAATTTTGTACATACACCTCCATATTGGGATCCAGCAGCGTGTAGTCAAACACCGTTGCCAGATATCTGTTCAGCCAGGGTAGAGGTAAATCTTTGACCTTTACGAGCTTCGTACCCTCTTCGTCTTCGATTGCCTGTAGCTCTTCCAAACGCTGCTCAAATTCGCTAATTTCCTGCCACAACTTTTCAAAAGTCTTTACATTGCTCGGCATATCCAGGTATCGGAGTAAATCTTGTAAATTTTCATAGGTCAGCGGTACAAATCCCATGCCCTCCACCGGCTTATCCAGATCAATGATTGTCTTGGTATTATCATCCCGGCGATGAATCATCATTTCTTCAATGAAAATGCCATTGAGGCCATACCTTCTCATTACGGCCAATGTCTGGACCCAGTCGTAGTGGGAACGGCTACTGCGCCCAGTCCACAACTTCGGCAGTTTAATATTTTCCTTGGCCTTCATCCAATCCACATATGAGAAATGATCAAACTGTTGCACCCTTATGCAAGATTTGTAGAAGGCATGTACCTTCTTGACAAACATCGGTTGGCGCCTGAGGCTCATTGTATTCAACAGCTGTGCCAATTCCTTATTCACCTCATAGTCGGTCATCGACAACATCTGGTTCCGGCCATTATAGATTTTCTCATGATATTCCTCCCATTTGCCACAGGCATATTGATAGAAATCGTCACAGGGATCGGCTCCTATATCCATTGAACCCTCAATAATAGCAGAGTATTTTTGGTTAAGGGCAAATCCATAGTTGTACGGTGCCGCATCAATGGACCTTGTCCGTAATACGCCCACCATTACCATGAAAGTCAATAGCCAGAAATTCATTGTTTTTTTTTTTTTGTATCTCTTTTTCTTCTTTTGTTTTACCTTTTGTTTTTATTACAGCAAAGCATTGTTCTGATTTCAATGCTAAATGAATACTGTTTTGGAATTTTACTATGGCATAATTTTCAATTGATAATTTCCGTTTTGAAATTGCGACATGTTATTGTCGCAATTAAGTCTATCTCAGTTTGTTTTCTTACTCTCTCAGCTTTTGGTTTTCTCAGCTCAGCTCATCCCAATCAACAACGACCAAAGCTACTCGTTATCTGATCATTCCACACATGCATGGAGGTTGTCATACTGAGTTCATCTATCTATTGGACAAACCTTCGATTATACATTTGTGTGAGACCAAAGATGGAATAATATGGACAAAAATAGCGGTGAATGAGGTAGTTGCCGACCAATACATGTTTGATAATACGGTGCAACAAAATTTACGACATTCCAGGAAAATTTAGAAGAGTATGAAATTAGAGATAAAACCAGTAAGGGCGGGGTCGACTATATGATACCCTACATCACTATGCGTATTTAGCAGAGCTAACATCAGAAAAAAGTTTATATTGGGAATTTATGTGAATGATATGAACTCGATAAGGATTATATGGAACAAGTAAAAGAGCTGTAAGTCCGGCCGGACCGAACTTTGAATACCCTCCACCATAAGGTACAAATTTGGCTATTAAAAAAAATTAAATAAAATCCGTTAAAAATTCTATTAAAATCTTAAAAATACCGAATGTAGCCATATATTAGGGTCTATACGACGACATGGACCTGCATAGACAACTTTTGTCACAAGCTATTACAATATTCAAATGCGAAACTTGACCTAAAAAAATCTGTTTATAATGCAGCTAAAATCGTCGTTATAAAACGTGGACCTGCATAGACAATTTTCATAGGCTGTAGTATCGATTAAGAACTTCAAATACCAAATTTGAAACAATTCCGGTGAAAAATATCGCTAAAATCATCAAAATACCGAATAACGGGGTGTACCGTTATATGCGGGCTATACGAAGACGTGGACCTGCACAGACAATTTTCTGTCATAGTCTGCAGTATCAATTACGAACTTCAAATACAAAACGTGAAATAATTCCGGTAAATAATGTCGCTTAAATCATCAAAATACCGAAAATCGGGTGGTACCGTTATATGGGGCTATACGAAGACGTGGACCTATATGACCCATTTTTTGTCCTAAGCCGTAATATCTATTACGAATTTTAAATACCATTTTTGAAACAATTCCGGTAAAAAATGTCACTAAAGTCATAAAAATACCGTATATGGGGAGTTACCGTTATATGGGGGCTATACGAAGGCGTAGACCTACATGGCCCATTTTCAATACCAAAAGTCCTGCAGACATAGTACATATTTGTGTAAAATTTTATTAACCTATTTCATTTCGTTCGGAAGCTAGAGTGATTTCCACAGACGAGCAGACGGATAGACGGTTAGACGGACGGACATTGCTAAATCGACATAGAATTTTATGCTGATCAAGAATATATATACTATGTGGGGTCTAAAATGTATATTTCGAGGTGTTACAAACGGAATGACAAACTTAATATACCCTCCATACTATGGTGGAGGGTATAAAAATATTTATTGGAGCAAAAGATATACCGGACCGAGCTTCATCAAATGGAAAAATTCAGTTAAATATGAAAAAATCTATCCAATTTGGGCTGATATAACATATATGGTGGACAATTACCATAAAATCGGATGAAGATGTATATCGATGATATATGAAAATCGGAACAGATCTCGATAAAATTTGGCAGAGGGATTTTCGAGCTGTATCTGATGCCCGGTATCAAATATCTTTTTGTGGAGTGCATATTACGCATGCGAGGGACTTTAACACCAAATCGAATGAAGCATACATGCGATCTGTAGCTATATCTGAACCAAGTTTCACAAAAACTTGAAGAACTTGCTTCTACACTGAATTCCGCCGGAATTGACAAAATTCAGTCCATTTGGGCTGATATTAGCCATTTGGTGTAAAAGAAAGAAAGACTTGTTTCGCATGTTATGAGAGATATAATTTTTCAAAATGCTGACCCTTTTGTGGAGAGGGTACCAGAAGGAGTGAACCGATATATTTCATCATCACACCAGATCTTGTGTAAGTGGAAATGTTGGAATGTATGAAGCTTACAATAATTTAGATGCGAATTTTAAATTTTATGTGAGTTTGGGTTATTCCAAATTTTGACCCGTGGGTACTAGAGGGAGTGGTTCTATGTATATTGTCTTAGTAGATGTACTGGGATGTGTGAAATTTAAAAGCAATTGTAAGCTCAATTTGTATTTTATAATCGTTTTTTTTATTTAAAAAATGTTGACTCTTTGTGGGCGGAGGTACCAGAAGGAGTGGGCCGATGTCTACCATATTCACAATGTTGATATGGTGTTGATAGAAATATTGAGATGTTTGAAAAAAATCTGATGTTTATTTCGCGTTTTACGAGCTTTAAGGCTATCCAAAACACTGTCTCATTGTGGTGGAGACTTTGAAGACAATCGGAACTCTTCTTTCAAATTCCAGGGTGATATAAAAAAAAACTGCAATAAAGTCAAACGCCATAATTTTTAATTTTTTTTTTTTAAATTTTATTGAATGAAAGCAAAAAAATTCGGAAATAGTATAAAATTTTAGAATAAGTTTTGATTTGTTTGAATTGGTCACTTTTGGCACGAATTGTGGCCTTCTAACGACCAATGAAATCGTCACACGCTGTCCGAATGTTGATCTGCGGTATTTTGGCCCATTCCCGGCGAAGCGCTTGCTTGAGGTGATCGACACTTTGTTATTTTTTAGCGCCAACCTTGCTTTCCAAAATACTCCAGACACAATAGTCCAACGGATTGGTATCCGGAGATTTTTGTGGCCATTGTGCGCTGGAAATGAAGCGAGGAACCTCATTTTGTAACCATTGCTGAGTGCTGTTTGAATGTCCAAGGTCTGCGGCCTAAATGTTTGCGTGTGCAAGGCTTTAATACACCCTCCAGGAAATTTTCGCGATAATATTCGGCATTTATTCTGATGCCACGGTCGATTAATACGAGCGGAGAGCGACTATCGGCTGTTATGGCGGCCCACACCATCACCATGGCCGGCACTTGAGTTGTGGTGGCCAACCGAAATTTGGATATTAGATTACTGTCGGGGTGTAGGATTTGGTTATGGAGGTAGTTTTGGAAATTTGTACTTTTATGTACTATATGGTACTAAATTTGGTATTAGCTGCACAGATAGTACTAGAAATGTGAATTTTTGTATTTGGTCGCTCTTTATGTGTAGCTTGGACGGAAATGTTTATCATAATTTTACAAAAAGTACTGAATGGTACGAAATTTGGTTTTGGGTTATCAGATATAATTTAAATTCTAAAATTTGACATTTTGATTACTAATGGTATCTCTGTTTGGTATTGGGTTCTATTTTGGCGATCCGCCCTATATTTGTACGAAAAGTACTGAATGGTGCTAAGTTTAGTATTGGGCGAAGTGATAGGGCTGAAAACGTGAAATTTTATATTGCGATAACTGTTGGTGTCTAGGATTGAGATACTGAACTGTTTTGCAAATGAGTGCCATAATTGTTCGGAAGGTACCAAGTTTTACTAAATATGGTTATGGGTGAATAAGTATATATGAAATTCTTAAATATGATATTTGGATTACTGTGTTCGTGATTTGGCGGTGGTTCTGTAAATGTATACTATATTTCTACGAAAAGTACTAAATGGTACTAAATTTGGTATTGGACGAAGGGATAGGACTGGAATCCTCAAATTTGAAATTGAGGTCTCTATTTGTATCTGGAAATGAGAAATATGGAAATGTGTACTATAATTGTGCGGAAAGGTCAAAATAGTACCAAATTTGGTATAGGGTGAAGGAACAAAGCTGAAATTTGATGTAGGTGTCACGGTTGGTGCCTGTTGTTGAGAGAAGGAGCAGGATTTGGATACTATGTGATACTAAATTTGGTACTTTTTGAATTTGGAGAAACTGAAGGGCTTATATCCTCTAACATACTGAATTATTCACCTCAGACCCTGAAAATTCTAAAATCTACAAACAGTCTGTATACTATTTTAAATAATGAAGTTATTATAACTTTTGGTTTTAAAGAAACCTGATTGTAGCGCACCCCAAAAATTCGACATGCAGCATTAAAAATATACGACGCAAATGTATACGAGTGAACGGATTGTACTAGAAATAACTGATAAGAGCTATGTATCTGTCGCAAGAGATGAGTGTTTGTAGAAATGAGAATCTAAAAATAAACAGAGTGAAAATGTCAATACTTCGGAAATCGGGAAAAAAAAAACAAATTGGTCGTGCTATTAATGTGATTATGGCAATTATGACAATACCATCTACAATTTCGGTGTTACGCTATGAGATTCACTCATATATGAGATGCTGTGGTATTATATTATGGCTTAGAATCAATAACATTACCCTGTTAATGGGTGAAGATCGTAAATCGAATTAGCATCTTGAGTTAAATGAAGTATTACACTGAGGAGTGAATATTTTATATATATTTTATAGTTCTTCGCGAATAATAATAATAATAACAATAATAACAATAATAATAATAATAATAATAATAATAATAATAATAATAATAATAATAATATAATAATAATAATAATAATAATAATAATAATAATAATAATAATAATAATAATAATAATAATATAATAATAATAATAATAATAATAATAATAATAATAATAATAATGTTACCGCCGAAATTGCGTATAAAAATAAATAAAATAAAAACACGAACGTTTTAATTTTAAATTCAAAAAAAGTATGGTAGATTTATTGGGAAAAATTAATAAATAAGAAAAAGGTGTAGGACAGATTACCTGTTGGTTGGTTTGGCAGCGAGAACAAGAGTAACTTTTTAATAATGTCGAAAGAGGCGTCGGCGGCAAATTTATACTCGTTAGAATCTGCATTTGACAGTTTAATGTTGTAACAAAAAGGAATATGCAGATTGTAACGAGTATAGCATTCGACAAAGTCTCAAACACAATGAATGTGGAGACG